GGAAACTTTTAAAACACGAATTCCTAAGCTTTGGAATGCTGAGACTACTAAAATAGAACAACTATCTTAATTTTCTCTGTTGAGCACTTGAGCCAAGAAGAGAAGCTACACTTGTTTAGAGTCGTGTGTTTGCTTGTGCATTTATATGCCGGCCAGCGGAAACCTCAAATGTCTCTCTGGAAGGTGGAGGCAGCCTCACACTGAAAGTTTCCTGTGGGGGGAAAATATCTCTTTTGCTAGAGGTTTCAGAGGAAGATAAAACAGGAACAGTGGGGTGTCTCTCTTCTTTTGGGATGGGGGGAATGGCAGAATTTCTTGAAATGGACAGTTTTAAAAATGAGAGATGTGTGTTACAGAGGTTGCAAGGATGATGCTCCGCTCTGTGCATAACGAGCCGCTTTGGTTGACATTTGGGGATTTTGAATGCATCTGGATTATTTTGCTTGATACACAAATGAGAATGTACAATATTAATAATAGAATGCAGTACTCTGTTGGTTTCTCCGTTAGAGAAACTGCTGTGAAATGTTGTAGTTTAAGGAGGTCCCGTAAAGTAACACTAGAATCTAAGCCAGAGGAACTATAGAGGGATTCAAAGTAAATGGCTCAAGGAACTTTAAGAAAACAAACAGAAACGAGGTGGTTTTATTAATAATAATTTTTTCTTTTTCTTCTGAATCGGGTTCCATTTATGTTCTTTTTTTAAAAAATTTTTTTAACGTTTTACTTATTTCTAGGAGAGAGAGAGAGAGACAGCGTGAGCAGGGGAGGGTCAGAGAGAGAGGGAGTCACAGACTCNATGTTTAACTCTTCGAAGGGACTACCAGACGTTTTTTGTTTTTTTTTTTTTTTTGAGAGAGACAGCGTCAACGGGGGAGAGCCAGAGAGAGGGGGAGGGAGAGAGAGAGAGAATATCTTTTTTTTTTTTTTTTAAATATTTTTTATTTATTTCTAGGGGAGAGAGAGAAAGACAGCATGAGCCGGGGAGGGTCAGAGAGAAGGGGAGACACAGACTGAAACAGGCTCCAGGCTCTGAGCTGGCAGTCAGCACAGAGCCCGACGCGGGGCTCGAACCCACGAACCGCGAGATCATGACCTAAGCGAAAGTTGGACGCCTAACCGACTAAGCCACCCAGGCGCGCCCCATTTATGTTCTTAACACAGACGGGCATGCACACCATTAAATGGAGCATCCAATTGGGAAATAAAATTTGGTGACTTTTGCATTGTCTTAATTGAGCAAGACGAGTCAGGAGCTCAAGTTCAGTTCCAGAGTGGGAGTGGCCTGTGAGAAACCAGTACCCTCTTCCTGGGAGAAAGTGGTTCTTCATCCCTTATTTCTCTCCTCTGTCGTTTCACCCCCCAGGCACCCGAAGTTTGGTAGTGACCACGGAAGGTGTGTCTGTAGCAGGGACGCCGAATTCCGCTTGTTAAGAGCATTGAAGCATACTCTCTGGTGATTAATGGACTGCGCTGTTTTTTTTTTTTTTCTCTCCTTCGTTTTTCCCCCCTCTTTCACCACACCAGACAGAGGGAATGTCCTGGCCTTGTCGCAGGAAAGCAATGCCCTGGTCCTGGAAGTGAAAACATGAGCTAATTGTTGCTGGTGTAAAGTTACAGGCCACCACTGAGATGCGGCCAGAACCTGACGTCTGTTAGATCTTGAGGGAAACAGAACTGCCATTTTGATTGAACTTAAGAGAGTCCTAAAAGTGGTGGTAGGCTCATTGCTAAACCTCCTTGGTTTCTGGAGATTGGACAGAAGTTATTTTGTCAAGACACGAGGGTCACCTGTAGGCTTAATAAGCTGGTCATGGTGTTCCCATGATTGGAGCCTGATAGGGGACCATTCATTCCACCATCAGCTGACGGGACACTCACCATCGGAGCCATGCAGCTGGGATGCAGATGCTGTAGGCGACTTGGTGAAGAGCGGTGTCATTCAAGTGAGCGTAGCCCTTGAGGTTACCTTGTCCTATGTTACTTGAGGCATCCGTCCTCAGCTTAAAGTTTGGTTTGAGTGCTGGAAGTACTTCCGGGGAAGGAGAAGCTCCTGGCCAACCGGGCCCCTTTGCAGAGCATAGCAGGCAGGACACATGGGCAGAGATGGGCAGAGAGTGCTGACATCATGGAGGGGCTAGTTTGGGGTGGCCAGGTGAGTGCACACGTATGTCCCCACATGAAAAGGCCTGGGGACTGGCGCTGAGAAAATGGACTGCTGGCTTGAGGCCGTTTCAGCTGTAGCACTTGGTCCAAGATACACACAGATGATCCTGTAGGAGAATTTCCCATCCCCAAAGCACTTCTGCAACCACAGTATTTGAACGGTAGTGTGTATGTAGTGGGTAAGAATAAACTAGCTGCTTGGGTTTGAATCCCCGCTCTGATACTCTTAGCTGTGTAGCCTTGCGCAAGGTACTTCACTTCTCTGGACCTTCATTTTCTTGTCAGAAAAATGAGGGTAATAGCATCTATCTCAGAAGTTAAGTGTGTGAGTGAAATGAGTTAATATGTCTTAAGTTTTTAGAAGCCATTAGAAGAGTTCTTCGCACATGACAAGTACTCAGTGACATTATTACTATTGAGTCATTCTTACTGATGGTTTCCATTTGTTGAGCACCTGCTGGGTGTCAGGGTGTGGACTTGGTTAAAGACTTTCGTATCATTCACACAGCCCTGTAACAGCAGGGGGCCTTGTTTCCATTTCCCAGCAGACACCACAGAGACTCAGCTCATTGCCTTATCTAGCCATTAATTAGTCCCCATCCTGGGGACTGTCAGCCATCTGGCTCTGTCACTTTTTTTTCTTTTTTTTTTTAATGTTTTATTTGTTTCTGAGAGAGAGACAGCATGAGCAGGGGAGGGTCAGAGAGAGAGGGAGACACAGTATCTGATACAGGCTCCAGGCTCTGAGCTGGCAGTCAGCACAGAGCCCTACGCGGGGCTCGAACCCACGAACCATGAGATCATGACCTGAGCTGAAGCCGGATGCTTAACCGACTGAGCCACCCAGGCGCCCCAGGCACTGTCACTTTCTATCCAGCCTGACTCCATGCCTGTGCAAACATGATTAAGCCTTGTTAAGTGAATAAACATTTTAAAAAACTATATATGTGATGCATATATCACATGTATATTCTAATTAATATTGTATTAAAATATTTCATTGAGTAAAGTTGCTAGAGTGTAGGTATGGTCAATAATGGAAATTTGTATACAAATTGTTAGTAATGGCCTACCTTAGAGGGTGAAAGGGGGTGGCTTCTGAGATCTTTTTATTATAATATTTAGTTGTCTTTCTTTCTGTTTAGAAGAACGTCTTTTATTGAACACACCACCACCCAGATTGTAAAGTTATGTGCAGTTGCCTGAATCATTGAACCAATGAAGTTTTATTCTATTAGTGTTATATTTTTAATCCTTATTTATTTTTGAGAGAGAGACAGTGTGCGAGTGGGGGGGTGGGGGCAGAGAGAGAATGGGAGACACAGAATCCAAAGTAGGCTCCAGGCTCCAAGCTGCCAGCACAGAGCCCCATGTAGGGCTCAAACTCACAGACTGCAAGATCATGACGTGAGCAGAAGTCAGATGCTGAACCGACTGAGCCCTCCAGGCGCCCCTGAACCAGTGAAGTTTTAAAATGAGGAAGATCATTCTCTGCCTACCTTCCTTGCCTTTTCTGACTCTGTGTGGTGAGCTGAGCAGTGTTTGAGCCTGGCACATAGCCTTCCACAGCCTTCTGCATACTTATACAAAAATAGGAACATAACCACACATATGGGATGTTAGGTTTTTCTTTTCTTTTTAGATCATGGTCTTTACACAAATGGAATCCTACTATACTCAGTTTTTACTTATTTCTTTAACGGTGTGTTGTGTACATATCACAGATAGATACAGACTTCAGTCATTGGTTTTAATAGATGCGTGTGATTTCATCATATGAATGTAACCCCAGGTTATTCTGTGACACACGTATTGATAGATCCTTCAGTTATTTTGCAACTTTTGCCTCTGCGAACAGCCCTATAAGCGTGTGTTTGTACGTATGTACTTCCTTTGGTCCTAGGGTTTGGATCCCCAGAACTACATGGACTATATATATTCATATAATTTTTGCAGTTTTATTTTCTACAATGAGCAGATGATTTCTTTATAATCAGAAATAAGATTTCAAGTAAAATATATAGAACTTGATTTCCATACATTCACACCCACACACAGACATACCGCACAAACTCCAGGGCCAGTGTGAAAGATTTATTTTCCAAAAGCAGAGAGTCCCGTTTATTCAAAGCTTAATGTAACATTGTTGGGTGTTCATCATTGGGTTTCTGTGGTAAAAAAAAAAAATGTGTAAAGAACATATGGTCACGGCACAGAGATTGTTTTTGTTATTTTAAAATTTGGGGAAAACTGGCAAACGTAGTGAGCAAACCATCAGTTCTCTTTCCCTCCTCAGCTGAGTGGAAGAAAGCTACACACACGCACCCCCCATGCACCCCCACGTGTGCACACTTCTTGAAAAGGAATCCCAAAGTTGTGTTGCTTATACTTTTTCAAGGGCTGTTCTGTATATGGGAGTAGGTTTGACCTTAAAAATTTATACTCCGGCAAACCTCAGACTCCAGAATTCATCCTCTTTCTACCCCCAGAAAGGACATTTTACTGAAATAAAACCAATTGCAGGTTGCTTCTGGGGTGTTATGTGGAAGTTGTTGACTGGATACTCTAAAGGCGGCTGTATTGGATTTCTGAATTTCGTTTGAGGTAAATTTCATTGTTATGCAGCAAGATATAATTCAAACCACTCTCTGGAAAAATAACAATTACAGAGCACAGTCGTTTTTGGGGAATTACCAGACCCACAGATACGGCACATGGGGAGGTCTGTATGCACTTTTTGTAGTCAGACTGAGGTCACAATGAAATAAAAACCCTGTTTTGAGACTTAGGCCGTATGTCAAGATACTGCCTCACAGGTAAAATGGCCACAGAAAACACCCTGGTGTTACTTGAGTAGCTAAACCTTTTGGATGGCGTCCAGTCCAGCCTTCTCATCTTTGTGTCAGATTCCACTCTGTGGGGAATAGTGACGTCACAAGGTCACTGAGTAAATGGTGAGTAATGTGTAAGGCAGAGTCATGGCAAATGGTCTCCGGGGAGGAGGACCAGGAGCAAACTGCTGATGTGTTTGCCCGTCCCCCTCAGCCTGCCTCGTGAGCTTGATCGCACCAAGGCAAGGGGACTGTGTTAGCGCTCACCTCAGTAATGCTTTGTGGTTTGGGGGAGACAGACCCCTCAGTGAGGATCTGATGAGAGTTGTGGATCTTCTTGTCAAAAAATTCATATTCTCATATTCGCTCATTGCTTCTCCTTCCTCACGTGCATGCACTCACACAATTTTACGGGACTCAGACTCCTTGGAACCAATCCATGAGCCTGTTGAGAATTTCTGTGTTTGCTGGGGCGCCTGGGTGGCTCAGTTGGTTAAGAGTCCAACTGGGGCGCCTGGGTGGCTTAGTCGGTTAAGCGTCTGACTTTCGCTTAGGTCATGATCTCATGGTTCGTGGGTTCGGGCCCCGCGTCGGGCTCTGTGCTGACTGCCAGCTCAGAGCCTGGAGCCTGTTTCAGTCTGTGACTCCCTCTTTCTGACCCTCCCCTGCTGACGCTGTCTCTCTCTCTCCTAGAAATAAAAACATTAAAAAAAAAAATTNAAAAAAAAAATTAAAAAAAAAAAAAAAAAGAGTCCAACTTCGGCTCAGGTCATGATCTCGTGGTTTGTGGGTTTGAGTCCCACGTCGGGCTCTGTGCTGACAGCTAGCTCAGAGCCTGGAGCCTGCTTCAGATTCTGTGTCTCCCTCTCTCTCTGACCCTTCCCCACTTGTGCTCGGTCTCTGTCTCATTATTCTCCCTCAGCCAAAACCAGCTCCGTCCTCAAATGGGCTTTCCATTTTCCAACTGGACAATTGAACATCCACAAAGAACAGTTCACATGACAGATTTGGAAGGTATGAGGTGCCAAATACCATGGAAAACAATAGATGGAGATTTAGGGAGACAGGAAGGACCCTCCTTTCCTGGGATAAGTTCCTCTGGAGTCCTGGCTTCTCTGGTGAGGTTTGACACTTGTCCCTTTTTCTATATAGGTCTGAGGAAGCATAATGTGGATGTGAATATGGCCTCCCCCCAAACCTGCCCCATACCTAATGCATAGACTCCATGGAGCAGACACTCTGCCTGGCATCTAGAATCAGGACCACAGTAAGAGTTTGAAACTACCAGGAGCTCCAAGAACAGTGATGGCGGTGGTGTATGAAATAACCTCTGGGCTGCACTCTGACTATAGTCAGATCTTCTACAGCAGGCTTCTTCCTTCCCTCAGAGTGACAGCCCCTCTTGTGCGGGGGCAGTTTTTGGCGTGCCTCCTTCAGAAAGACAGGGTATAAACTTGAGACTTTGTCATTTACAGATTGGGGTGAGTTCTCAGTACCTGTTTATGTTCATTTTCTCACCCCAAAAATGAAAGTAATAGTAGTACCTTTAAAATGAATCTTGTAGGGGCGCCTGGGTGGCTTAGTCGGTTAAGTGTCCGACTTTCGCTTAGGTCATGATCTCGCGGTTTGTGGGTTCGAGCCCCGCGTCGGGCTCTGTGCTGTCTGCCAGCTCAGAGCCTGGAGCCTATTTCAGAGTCTGTCTCCCCCTCTCTCTCTGACCCTCCCCTGCTCATGCTGTCTCTCTCTCTCTAGAAATAAGTAAAAATATAAAAAAAAAATAAATAAATAAAATGAATCTTGTAGGCCTCAGTAAATGGAGAAAAAGAACGTGGAGTGTTTGCATAAGCCTTGGCACGTCTACCATGCTGAGGAACTGGAAGTTTGAATTGATGGCTACTTAATGTTGTCTAGCGGTAGCCATTTACTGGTCTTGGACCCCACAGAGTGGGGCCTTCCAAATTCAGCGTGCCTTGAAAGATTGCTGTTTTGGGATAGGACCCACGTGTTACAGAGTTCATATCCAAAATTAGGGGGTGGAGCTCTCTCTCTGTTCACCAACCAAGAGCCCATGAAATTGTTTGACATCCTTCATGAATGAAGAAAGAATTCTGGAGCAAAGTGTTTTCCAGTTCACTCCGCAAAGTATTAACGTGCCTCACATCCAAGCGTCAAGAGCAGGAAATGGGAAAGTGGGGGCAGGTTCCTCCTCAGTCGCCAAAGCAAACTCAGATGCTTGGCTGCCCTTCATTTATCTTTTAAATAAAGGGGAAAATCCTCTGGATCATTAATGAATGGACAACTTTTATTTATTTATTTATTTTTTAATGTTTGTTTATTTTTGAGACAGAGACAGAGCATGAATGGGGGGAGGGCAGAGAGAGAGGGAGACACAGAATCTGAAGCAGGCTCCAGGCTCTGAGCTGTCAGCACAGCTGTCAGATGCTTAACCAACCTGAGTCACCTGGGTGTTCCTGAATTGACAAATTTTATACACTTCACCTATGAATCAGTCAATCGCTCTCTCTCTGTAAACTGCTTTTGGCTTTTTTTCCCCCTTAAACTCGTTTATACTCCCTTTCACCTAAATAGTTTCTCCAAAATGAATCTTAAACTTCTTTGTTCCATATGAAATGGGAATAATTATAGTAGCTAAAGCTAAATCCTAGAAGTAGTTAAGACTGTGTCATGCAATATCCCAGGAATAAGTAGATGGCATAATCTAACATAGGAAACATCAAAGGGAAGTTAAGGATTACTTTCAAGGGTCTGGTAAGAGTGTAGGGCAGATCTTTCTGTAATGAGCCAGATTGTAAATATTTTCAGTTTTGGGGGCTGTGCGGCCTCTATTTCAACTATCCTCTTCAAGTGTGAAAAGCAGCCATAGACAGCACAGACATGAATGGGTGTGGTTTCCAATAAAACTTTATTCACCAAAAAGACTTTGGGCAGGATCTGGCTCATGGGCCATGGTTTGTTGACTCCTGGTGTAGGGGACACACAGAGGTGGGGCAGTATCCTCTGCTAGGAGCAGTGCTGTGACTTAGTTTGTCCAGCAGGGCAGGAAGGAGCCACCAGATGGTAGAAGGAAGGGGCGCTATGGAGAGGGACTGCCCAGACAGGAACAGTCCACTCTGGAAGATAGACCTCCGCTGTCAAGAGACCACCCCACGAGGAAGGACAAATACGTACACCTGAATTGGTCTTCTCTCCCTTGCTCCTCCTCGCTGTGCCCCGTTGACTTATGCCAGTGGAGCTGAGGGAGGACCCTGACCCATTTTGTAGAGTGTCCTCCCTGGGAACAAAGAACAGGGTAGGGAAGAAAGGAAGCTGTCTGACTCGGGGAAGTTCGTGAACCTGGATTCTCTCAGTTCCAGGGTGGGTTGTATAAACATTGTTTTCCTGTTGTTATTTATTAATCCTAGATCTTGTAAACATCTCCATGTCTGGCTCTGTGTGGGGTTTACGTGCATTCTTTCACTTTACAGTCTCAACAGTAAATGAATCAAAGGACCTTGAACAGAACCTGGTACAGAGACCGACTCGGTGCAGCAATTAGTCATAGAGTAGAGACCCACTCAGTGCAGAAGTCAGTCCTAGAATCGATTCAGATCCCTTGGGCCAGTCAAGCTCTCCTTGGCTCTTGATATGGTTCTTTCTGTAAGGATGCTTTGGGAGCATCCTTCTGCTAAGCTCTCTCCTGGAGTTAGAAAGCAGGGAAACCCTGTTTGCTTCAATGAATGGATGCATATTGACCTTTAATGGAATGAGGCGTCAACCAGAGTAAGTGAATGACTCCATTTAAGTAAAGTCCTAATTTAGTCATGTCCCAAAACATTGTATCACACTGCAGATTAAAGTAAGGTCGGTAAAAGTGAATGTCTTTGGTAACCTTACAGTCCACACTAATAGAGGCCTTAGAGATAAGTATCTTGAGAGTATGTGTTATACTTGGTTTTATCCTCACTTTTTTGTACTCTTTATAATTCAGTTTCTTGATTGTCTCTCTAAAAATTGCACTTCTCTCTAGGACTTTGATTTCTTTGTTTATAGCTCTCAAAGCTATGATGAAATGCATACTTACCCACACCAACAAAATAAGAATTCTGTGAAGTCTCACTTTCTCAGGACACAGGATAAATGGGTATTGGTGTCTCAATGAAAGTAGTCAGTGAGTTGACAAATCAAGCACAATTTGAAAAGGCTAAAGTTTGATTTCAACAGGTGTTTCAGGGAGCTTGTTTTAGATGCTAATGCTTCTATCCTGACCAGTAAATGGTCTTAAAAAAAGACATTTCTTCGTATCGGGCAGGGTCCTTAGAATTTGACTTGCATCACCTTGAAAACTTGTTTCTCCACATTTCTGTAGTTTGGGTCATGCATGTGTTTTTACATTCAGAGACAAGCACATGAAAGGTTGCTGCTCAAACGTCGGATCTGTGGCACTGATGTTTGGCACATGGCAACCTGGAGAGAGCCCCAGTCGTCTTCACTTGAGGATTGGCTGGGGAGGCAAAATACAGCTCGGGTCTTGAGGGTGTTTAGCTCAGCTGCCAGCACTTACTGAGGTAGGTGGCTGTCCTTTAACAATAGCTTTGGTTTTGAATGGCCATGGCTAACACCTACCTCAGGTTTGCTAACTGCATTATTTTTAATCCATCTGATCTTTGACTTTGTTCTCCAGTTTTTAACAGAAGAGTTGAACTCCCCAGTTTGGGAGGAGGAAGGGTAAAGGAAAGACTTGGGCAGAAAGTAGGCCATTCCCTAGGCCAAGATGTGTCCTTGAGTGCACGTGAGTGTAATTTCTTCACAAGGACACCCTCCTTGCAGAATGACAGCAAAAGGACTAAACTGTCTCATTGGGTTTTCCTTCCGGTTTCTTCCCTCCCTCCCTTCCCCATCATACTGCCCCTTACCTCTGTTTCTGTACTGTTTCATCCTGACTTTCAAATGACATGACCCTGTAAGTGTTCTTCGCAGCCAGACAGACTTTGGTTTGAGGGGGTTACTGCGACGTTATGCTATAAAATTGATTTTGAATGACGTTGGTGGAGAGCCACAGAAGCTGTCTGATGATCCTTGAAGATTGGTGCATTCTGTCTCCTGCTTGTATAATGAGAAGACAGAGGGCTTGTTCCCATCCCGTCGTCTGACAGGTGGCAGAGCTGGGGCTGGGGTTAGGCCTGATTTGCCGTGGTACGCTCCCCACAACCCAGCGCGTGTGCTTGTCAGATGCTTTTCTGTTTCTTCGTTCTGAACTTTCTGTTAAAACGTTCTTGAGCTTCCACAAGCCCTTCATCTTTTTAGCACACATTGTATTTTGGCCCCACAGTAGTATTGTCAAGTTTGATGGTGAGTTTGCTCTTTGATTTGCCTGCCATCTCTCAACTTTCTCCTTGAGAGAGTTACCGTGGTAGATTTCTGGGAGCCAGACAGGAGATGTGCATTCCAGGAGCAACGCTTTCTTGTGTGTCACGTCACTGCACCGGCTACAGATGCTGCTTTGGAAAGAAGCCTTGGCTTGGAAATGGGATGCTTTGAAGTGTGATGTATTAACACTAGACTCACCCATGAAGAGATGGCTTCTCCAGAACATTGCAGGCACCTTTGTGATCTGTGAACAGCACACATATTGTATCTGTGGTCATCGGTGAGCTTCCTTAAGACGTAGCTGTGTCATTATAAACCCTTCTTTTTCCTTTCGGGTGCCGTATAATGCCGTTTGTGTTCATTGTTTTCTTAGGCGATCATGTTAAATTTACAAGAAGCAAATGGTATTTGCAAGAAAGATGACATCCTTCAGAGCTGAGAGATTTTCTATATATTAACTTACTACCTTTTCCCTTTAGAAACCAAGCCTTTGCTGTCTCATACCACACTTCAAAGAAGAAACCTCTCATCACATCCCTTTTGCGAACTGAGAGGTATAGAACCTGGTTATACTTGACAATCTGCCATAGTACGACCTGGTTGTAAATGAATCGATTGTTCAGCACAGGACTGAACCATTGCAGGAGATAGAAATGGGCCAGCGGAGGGGAAAAACTTGAATTTGTTTTAAAAATCTCCTTCTTGTCTTGTGGGTGGAGTCAGTATCGGCTGCTGCCTTTTGGCTGTGGTGCAGTAATAAAATGTGCTTGCTTGACTGAACTCGTTGACTTCATTTTGGTTTTTAAACAGTGTTGGGGAAGGAGAGTGAGCTAAGAGGGCTTCCTTAGCTGTCCAGCCTCTCACTGCCTAATTAGCATGGTCAAATACTCAGTTTGGTTTTCGAAGCTTTGTAGAGCTGTAAGCCAAGAAGGCACTTTTGTCCTAGGGCACGTTTTCTTGATGCTGAGGAGATTAGCGGTCAAGGGGCTCTGAGAGCCGGAGTTAGAAGGTACTCGGAGGGGAGCCTTCGGCCCTAGAAGGTAATTAATGTTGGATATTTTTTTCCCTTTACAGGCTGAGTGTCAAATACCGGATGGGGCTAGAG